TCTAAACCCCAAAGCCTCTCCGGTGCAGAGTCCTCTCGCCGGGTGCGGTGGCGCGCGCCTGTAATCCCAGTTACCGGGAGGCTGAGGCTGGAGGAGCGTTTGAGCTCAGGAGCTCTGAGCTGCAGGGACTATGCCGAACGGGTGTCCGCACTAAATTCGGTATCGATATGGTGCTCCTGGGGGAGCCTGGGACCACCAGGTCGTCTAAGGAGGGGGGCACCGGCCCAGGTCGGACACGGAGCAGGTCAAAACCCCCGTGCCGCTCAGTAGTGGGATCGCGCCTGTGAATAGACGCTGTAGTGAAGCCTGAGCAATACAGCGGGACCCAGTCTTTATACACTCTGAACACACACCTGGGACAATACACACACTCAACAACAATGTGTTTACATGTTACAGCAGCTTCATCTCTCTACATTTATTTGGTTCTTCACATGGAAACCTTCACAAACCACTTCTGTGTGTTTGTCCTGCAGCGCCTCCTCCTGGAGGAGAGCAGCAAGGAGCATCAATCCCCAGTTGATTTATTTTTAACGTTTGCATGTAATCTACTTACTTCAGTTGTCTCATTCCACTGACAAAACATCGAATACAATATATATGTTGTGATTGTGTAACACATACACAGAATAAAAAGTCATTAAAACTATAGCTGCACCTTTGATAAACACTTTATTGCATCAATCATTATAATTGAAACATATAATAGGCTACATAATATTCTGAGAAGACGCAATCTGCATAGTACTTTTACTTTTGATACTTTAAGTATATTTTGATGCCAATACTTTTGTACTTTTACTTGAGAAACCTTTGGAATGCAGGACTTTTACTTGTAACAGAGTATTCCTACACTCTAGTACTCAAGTACAAGATCTGAGTACTTCTCCCCCCCTCTTCCAGCTGCAGATCTGAACTCTGCCTTCCTACCCAGCCTCCACCTGCAGACAGCAGGAAGCTGCAGACGCATGCTCCACCTAAAACCTCTTCTGGAAACCTCCCACCTGTTGGACCTAACTGCTAAAACCCTGTTCCCTCTTCAACCTCCGTCAAACTCTACCTCCAGTTTCTCAGGTTTCCTCCAGGTCCTGGTGGACTTCACAGTCTTCCAGATCGACAGCAGCTGACCCAGAGCCGAGCATCAGAGACCTTTATTCCTCCTCCTCATCCTCCACCTTCATCACCAACTCCTGTTCTTCTTAGAGTTCTATAAAGTCCATCAATCTCTGCAGTCATCAGATCTGTCATTTGAATCCACAAAAATGAACCAAAAAGGGATACTTTAATATTTCTCATGTTTTATTTAATTTATTTTACAGTTAGCCAGCATCCATTAAATGTTATTAGTATTACTGAGAAATTAGGATGACAAGCTACTGACGGATATGTATACATTTAAACTCACAAGGACTAAAGTACAATGTAAAAAAAACACACTCATATTCTTGTATTAATATACAAATGTCAAGATGTGCATACTAAGAATCATACAGCATTCAAAGTTAAACTTTCAGTTTTAGCAATAAATGTATGCCAGTCGTCAGACTTCACCAGAAGTAAATGAGTCGACATAAAACATTCAAACCTATAAAAAATGTTCCTGATAAAAACTGGAAATGACTGGAAAAGACTCAGGACAACAAAACGACATAGTTTTAGGCATAAACTACCTGTCTAATTGTAAATGTTCTTATATCAAACTTCCCAATAACTTAAGCAAAACAAATCATCAGCTGAATTTGATAAACAAGTTGGAAACTGATGAAGAGAGGAAGAATATCATTGTGTATGATACAAAACAAGACATGACGTCACGTCTCTAAACCCCAAAGCCTCTCCGGTGCAGAGTCCTCTCGCCGGGTGCGGTGGCGCGCACCTGTAATCCCAGTTACCGGGAGGCTGAGGCTGGAGGAGCGTTTGAGCTCAGGAGCTCTGAGCTGCAGGGACTATGCCGAACAGGTGTCCGCACTAAATTCGGTATCGATATGGTGCTCCTGGGGGAGCCTGGGACCACCAGGTCGTCTAAGGAGGGGGGCACCGGCCCAGGTCGGACACGGAGCAGGTCAAAACCCCCGTGCCGCTCAGTAGTGGGATCGCGCCTGTGAATAGACGCTGTAGTGAAGCCTGAGCAATACAGCGGGACCCAGTCTTTATACACTCTGAACACACACCTGGGACAATACACACACTCAACAACAATGTGTTTACATGTTACAGCAGCTTCATCTCTCTACATTTATTTGGTTCTTCACATGGAAACCTTCACAAACCACTTCTGTGTGTTTGTCCTGCAGCGCCTCCTCCTGGAGGAGAGCAGCAAGGAGCATCAATCCCCAGTTGATTTATTTTTAACGTTTGCATGTAATCTACTTACTTCAGTTGTCTCATTCCACTGACAAAACATCGAATACAATATATATGTTGTGATTGTGTAACACATACACAGAATAAAAAGTCATTAAAACTATAGCTGCACCTTTGATAAACACTTTATTGCATCAATCATTATAATTGAAACATATAATAGGCTACATAATATTCTGAGAAGACGCAATCTGCATAGTACTTTTACTTTTGATACTTTAAGTATATTTTGATGCCAATACTTTTGTACTTTTACTTGAGAAACCTTTGGAATGCAGGACTTTTACTTGTAACAGAGTATTCCTACACTCTAGTACTCAAGTACAAGATCTGAGTACTTCTCCCCCCTCTTCCAGCTGCAGATCTGAACTCTGCCTTCCTACCCAGCCTCCACCTGCAGACAGCAGGAAGCTGCAGACGCATGCTCCACCTAAAACCTCTTCTGGAAACCTCCCACCTGTTGGACCTAACTGCTAAAACCCTGTTCCCTCTTCAACCTCCGTCAAACTCTACCTCCAGTTTCTCAGGTTTCCTCCAGGTCCTGGTGGACTTCACAGTCTTCCAGATCGACAGCAGCTGACCCAGAGCCGAGCATCAGAGACCTTTATTCCTCCTCCTCATCCTCCACCTTCATCACCAACTCCTGCTCTTCTTAGAGTTCTATAAAGTCCATCAATCTCTGCAGTCATCAGATCTGTCATTTGAATCCACAAAAATGAACCAAAAAGGGATACTTTAATATTTCTCATGTTTTATTTAATTTATTTTACAGTTAGCCAGCATCCATTAAATGTTATTAGTATTACTGAGAAATTAGGATGACAAGCTACTGACGGATATGTATACATTTAAACTCACAAGGACTAAAGTACAATGTAAAAAAAACACACTCATATTCTTGTATTAATATACAAATGTCAAGATGTGCATACTAAGAATCATACAGCATTCAAAGTTAAACTTTCAGTTTTAGCAATAAATGTATGCCAGTCGTCAGACTTCACCAGAAGTAAATGAGTCGACATAAAACATTCAAACCTATAAAAAATGTTCCTGATAAAAACTGGAAATGACTGGAAAAGACTCAGGACAACAAAACGACATAGTTTTAGGCATAAACTACCTGTCTAATTGTAAATGTTCTTATATCAAACTTCCCAATAACTTAAGCAAAACAAATCGTCAGCTGAATTTGATAAACAAGTTGGAAACTGATGAAGAGAGGAAGAATATCATTGTGTATGATACAAAACAAGACATGACGTCACGTCTCTAAACCCCAAAGCCTCTCCGGTGCAGAGTCCTCTCGCCGGGTGCGGTGGCGCGCGCCTGTAATCCCAGTTACCGGGAGGCTGAGGCTGGAGGAGCGTTTGAGCTCAGGAGCTCTGAGCTGCAGGGACTATGCCGAACGGGTGTCCGCACTAAGTTCGGTATCGATATGGTGCTCCTGGGGGAGCCTGGGACCACCAGGTCGTCTAAGGAGGGGGGGCACCGGCCCAGGTCGGACACGGAGCAGGTCAAAACCCCCGTGCCGCTCAGTAGTGGGATCGCGCCTGTGAATAGACGCTGTAGTGAAGCCTGAGCAATACAGCGGGACCCAGTCTTTATACACTCTGAACACACACCTGGGACAATACACACACTCAACAACAATGTGTTTACATGTTACAGCAGCTTCATATCTCTACATTTATTTGGTACTTCACATGGAAACCGTCACAAACCACTTCTGTGTGTTTGTCCTGCAGCGCCTCCTCCTGGAGGAGAGCAGCAAGGAGCATCAATCCCCAGTTGATTTATTTTTAACGTTTGCATGTAATCTACTTACTTCAGTTGTCTCATTCCACTGACAAAACATCGAATACAGTATATATTTTGTGATTGTGTAACACATACACAGAATATAAAGTCATTAAAACTATAGCTGCACCTTTGATAAACACTTTATTGCATCAATCATTATAATTGAAACATATAATAGGCTACATAATATTCTGAGAAGACGCAATCTGCATAGTACTTTTACTTTTGATACTTTAAGTATATTTTGATGCCAATACTTTTGTACTTTTACTTGAGAAACCTTTTGAATGCAGGACTTTTACTTGTAACAGAGTATTCCTACACTCTAGTACTTTTACTCAAGTACAAGATCTGAGTACTTCTCCCCCCTCTTCCAGCTGCAGATCTGAACTCTGCCTTCATACCCAGCCTCCACCTGCAGACAGCAGGAAGCTGCAGACGCATGCTCCACCTAAAACCTCTTCTGGAAACCTCCCACCTGTTGGACCTAACTGCTAAAACCATGTTCCCTCTTCAACCTCCGTCAAACTCTACCTCCAGTTTCTCAGGTTTCCTCCAGGTCCTGGTGGACTTCACAGTCTTCCAGATCTACAGCAGCTGATCCAGAGCCGAGCATCAGAGACCTTTATTCCTCCTCCTCATCCTCCACCTTCATCACCAATTCCTGCTCTTGTTAGAGTTCTATAAAGTCCATCAATCTCTGCAGTCATCAGATCTGTCATTTGAATCCACAAAAATGAACCAAAAAGGGATACTTTAATATTTCTCATGTTTTATTTAATTTATTTTACAGTTAGCCAGCATCCATTAAGTGTTATTAGTATTACTGAGAAATTAGGATGACAAGCTACTGACGGATATGTATACATTTAAACTCACAAGGACTAAAGTACAATGTAAAAAAAACACACTCATATTCTTGTATTAATATACAAATGTCAAGATGTGCATACTAAGAATCATACAGCATTCAAAGTTAAACTTTCAGTTTTAGCAATAAATGTATGCCAGTCGTCAGACTTCACCAGAAGTAAATGAGTCGACATAAAACATTCAAACCTATAAAAAATGTTCCTGATAAAAACTGGAAATGACTGGAAAAGACTCAGGACAACAAAACGACATAGTTTTAGGCATAAACTACCTGTCTAATTGTAAATGTTCTTATATCAAACTTCCCAATAACTTAAGCAAAACAAATCATCAGCTGAATTTGATAAACAAGTTGGAAACTGATGAAGAGAGGAAGAATATCATTGTGTATGATACAAAACAAGTAAAGCGTCTGGCAGCTGGTGCTAGCTGGCCAGTACCGATACAAAAGCAGGTCTTTAACCTCAGGAGTCCATTCTGCAGAGCAGGATGGACAGGATTTCCGAGGCAAGCAGACATTGTATCGTCCTGTGAACAAATGGACAAAGTAAAGGTATTTCGGTAATCAAACTGTGAGTTTGCCTTAACATACATATTGTATTTTATACATAGATGTGCATATATGATATATTAGCTATTTCACATGGCATTTGGGTGTTGTCTGAAAATGACCAGGTGATAAAAATCTTTGCGTTGCACAAAGTGGTAAAACTCTGCCGTACAATACTACTTTTACAAAAAGAAGGGCTTTCAGAACAACATACCGTTGATGGTGACCACAGAAATATGCTTCCAAGGAGTAACTGTGACGTCATCAGAGCATTCACAGATTGACCTTGGAGTAGGAACAGGCAGTTGACATACTGCAATATAGAAAATAAGTTAGGAAGGGTGTATTTACAGTTTTTCCTTAATTCTCCAGATTATCAAGATATTCAATAACATTTGGCATAATTTCTACATATCTTGCAGCCCTAGTCAAAACCAATCATACTTTTTTCAATCAGCTATGTACACTTCCCATTCGCACTTGGGAACTACACTATAATGGGACATTGTAATGTAATGTTAATCTTTACATACTTTGTTCACAAAACTGAGGCTGGCCATTTTCATCCACCACCACAGCAGTTGTAGGGGGAATGGGCTCCAGAAATCCATTGAACACAGCCTCTCTGTCATGGAAGATATTCCTCTTGTGGGCTTCCATGTCACAGGTTGCACAGAGGAACTCCATGTCCAGTGGAACACAGTCCAGGCACCTAATAGCCGCTTCTTCTGCACAGCATCTGTGGCACTTCTGAATGGCTATTCTCTCAGCTGAGAGTTTTGCATTAAAAAGCATTGGCCTAGCCGTTTTCATTCTCACATCTGTGAGAAGCTGCCTTTGTGCCCAGGCAGAAACCGTTCCGTCTGTTGCCTCCGGAACCTGGACTGCAGTTAGGGTGTCCCTTAACTCTTGGAGATGTGTTTCTAAAAAATAAAACAGCTGTTAAGCCACCCTAAAATTGGTATGATGGATATTAAGGTAGTATACTGAACCACTTTTGAGTTGGAAAAATATATGCGGACTAATAATAGCAACATGCTATGAATCATTATATGCATCCAAAGCAATATTAGCAAGTGATACTTATACCAAATATGCATTCACTTGTCATGAAACAGTCAATACTCAATACTTTATTATGATTAACTAGATGAGTATAAAAATGGAAAAATTGGGAAAAACTGTAGTGCCAGTCAACTGCTGTTATAACCAATATACTCACCAAGACTACCAAACTCTTGATGTTCTAGCTGAAGGCCTTCCTCATGCACAGGATCGTCTCTTCTGGCTTGTGAAGCTGCAGAGACAGTCATTTTTGCTTAACCCTTCAATCAATCTAAAATTACACCAATTAATTGTAATATGAAAATGCTCTGTAAGGACTGCAGGTAATGAAACTAAGAACATATTACCACAGCATCACAATGACAATTTACATTTGCCATACTTTTATCCAAATCGAGGTACACATTTTCAAAAATACAACACAAGCAAGGATTATCAGTCACAGGCTCTTAAAATATCTTGATTTAATTTGAAAATGTTTTAAACATTGCAACAGATTTGTCAAGAGGTATCTTTAAATTACATAATTTCATACTGTGTACACCAAAATAACTTTGTTATGAATTAACTTTATTCTTAGACTTAGAAATCATGATATAGTAAAGAACAAACCTGATGCGGAACGTTGTGTTTCCCGTTGTCTCTCACGTCTGCGTGTGACCACTGGATTAGAAAGAGGTCTCTTCCTGCTTTTTCTTTTCTTTTCCGGAGGGATGGCAGGGGTTTCAGTGGCCATGGCAGCCTATATTTTTTCAGAGGTTGAGATCAACAACAAAGTTGTAATACAACATAAGACAGCAGCACTTATATTTTAGCAATTATTTAACGGTTGCATATAAAGGTCTAACTGACCCTTTATATTACATCAATAAAACGCAATAGCAATGATTATATTACAGACTTGGGTATTTGCTTATCATGAAAAGCCTCACCCTGGCCTCGTGGAGATGAGCCTCGCTAATCAATGCTGCCATGTGCATCGTGGCCTCATTGGGATCCTCAAAGACCCTCACTTCAGGGTTGAGGGACATGGCATACAAATAATACAAACAATACAGACACAATATACAAACAATACACAAAATGAAGAGAGTGAGAGAAAGACAGGAGAGTGAGAGTGATTGAAAGAGAAAGTGAGAGAGTGATAGAAAGAGAGACAGTGAGAGAGAGAGTGGCTCTTAAAAGTGCCGTTGGTTTTATATGTGTGTGTGTGTGGATATGTGTGTGTTGGTGATAGTAAGCGTTGTAATGAAGCTGTAAAACAGGAAAAATAAAAACATGATTAGGATTATTTAGAATAACAGTAACATCTGTGCAATACTCTATGCAATAATAATTCATCTGTGCAATACTCTATGCAATAATAATTCATCTGTGCAATACTCTATGCAATAATAATTCATCTGTGCAATACTCTATGTAATAATAATTCATCTGTGCATTACTCTATATGCAATAATAATGAATCTGAGCAATACTCTGGCATACATTATGCACTTATACTGTGCATATTGTTATATTATGCACATATTTTGACATACTTGTTTTTCTTATATCTTCTACTATATATTTTAATTCTACAATGTAACAATCCCAATTTCCCCCGGAGATCAATGAAGTATTTCTGATTCAGAGTGGGACATTGGGTGGTCCCCACTGGCCAGTCAAATCCTCTGGAAAAACTCCAGTTCCACATTTTTGTTCCACTCCATCACCGATGCCCTTTAGCCACTATTACAACTCTGTGTTGAAGACTGTCTTTACAACACATGTGCAAATACATGCATTTAAACATATTTTTCTAGCAGGCACCTCCACTATCCAACTATGCCGGGACAGCTGTACATGTAGCTGTATAAACTATAAATGCTATCCTGCTAAAAACTTTGACCGGAAGGCCAAACGCGCAACGCGTAGCCTATTGTAAAAGCTAAACACACTACAAAACTCTACAAAACTCAACCTAATATCCAGGAATGAAACGCTATAGAGACTGTGCTACAGTGGAATAAATAAAAGCAATATTATTTCGTGTTTTAAAGAAATAAACTCCCCTTGATTTGAGATACTTACTGTAGTCCGTTGTCAGATGAAATTAATGAAAGTGAGGTGACTGTGGGTAACGTAACGTGGCTACGTCACGTTGCCGTCAAGCGCGACGTAACGTTGCCGTGGTAACGACGGAATCTTCTTCTGGTTTATTGTTGTTATAATAAAAATGATTATTATTGCTATTAAACAAAAAGCATTTAAAATACAGTCAGTAGCCATCATCATTCCGATGTGGGGAGAGTGGTTTTCACCATCATTATATATTTTTTAAATGACTAATATTGGCCTACAATACCCCTTTATTGATCAAATAGGAATATAATTGTCTTTTAAATAACGTAAACTAAAGGGAACAATCTATTTGACACAGCTGAAGCTCTGGCCTTCCTTAAAAACTAACTCATTTAATAAAAATCACAGTTGTATTACACACAATGCATTGTTTTTTGAGAACACAAATTTGGTAAATAATGCACCATAATACATTCTGACGAAAAATAAAAATTATTATGAATACAAATAAAATAAAAGAAGCCTCCTGTGAGTTACTACAAGCTATAAAGTAGATTTTAAAAACGTTTTATAGACTAAAAAGCCCACTGCTGGACGTTGTAGAAATGCGTGTGTGCACCACGACAAAGGAGCCTCATTCACTTTACATTGGCGTTGTTTGCGTGGTGCAGACACGTAAATGTAACAAAGTTCGTGACTCCACCACGCAATGCAGTGTTAAGCAGTCGTGGTGGAGTCACGCATTCTGGTGAGATCAGGTTGAAAAAATGTGTTACTTCACAGTTTTATGACACATTTTATTTTTTTTGACTTGCAAAATTATCTTTTAAATTGACAAACATCATATGTGTAATTCGTGGCACAATTCAAACGGGATCGAAAGATAATCTTTCTCTCTCCATTGACTTCAATGCATAACTTTTCCGAAATAAGGTCCCATGGGGCTCAACCGGAAGGGGAGGGACTTCGCCACTCTATTCTAGTGTTTACGTTTGAAGCTGTGTGGAAGGCAGTTACCGAGATATACAGTATAGTTGCCGTGACCACAGTTAGCGAACCAAGTTAACGCGAAAGAGTTCAATTTACCGTAAGTAGTGCTTCATTATAATATATCTAAATACAAAAATAATAATATATAAAGTTAAATACCTAAGATATTTTTGGTGTTATATTAAGTTAAATACTAAATCGGTTTGCTTTATGTATACTCTGTCAGATCAATTGTTTTTCAGCTACGGCTAACGGTAGGCGACTTATCGTTTATGATACTCAAAATATTCCTTTTTCTAATGTTATTACCTTCTCTGGAATCAGTGGTGTAAAGCAACAAAGTAGATTTATTCAAGTATTGTAGGCCTACTTAAAGGTACTTGTACTTTACTTGAGTATTTTAATTTGTTTGCTACTAAACTTCTACTCAACTATTGTTATTGTTTGAACTATGTAGCAACGGTAGGAACTGCTTGCGGACCTTTTTGATTACAGATTTGAAAACATCCGTTGCTTGCTTTAAAAGTAGCACTTCAAGTAGCAATTCATTATGTCAAACCTTGGAAAGTATCTAGATATCCCTGCCCTAATACTTTTCTTCTTTCGTATGAGTAACATTTTGATTGCAGGACTTTGACTTGTAACAGAGTATTCCTACACTGCCTTCCCTTGTCTGCCTAGAATTGCCTCAATAGCTCTGAATTGTTACCGTCCTAAGTATCTACTGTAAAAAATAACTATAATTATAATAATCTAATGCTTCTTTCAGACATGGATAAAATGTGGCAGAAGACAGTCCTAAATGAACAAGGTGGTTGAGAATAAGATCAGAGAGCATGTTAAATGTTGCAGTGGCATTAATTATGACTGGAAATGATTGCTGACTTCATATTGCAATTATCTTTCCTCCATTCTCAGAGACAGAGAGCGATGAAGAAGAGTACAATGAACTCAGGAGAAAAGACTATGAGGTAAATGACAGACGCAGCAAGACTTTTGACAAATACCAGAAGGCTAGACCCCATCTCCCCTGTTTTAGTCTCTCTTCACTGGCGACCTGTCTGTTTTACAATTTGTTTTAAGATTTCACTGATTACTTTTAAAGCTCTTAACGGGTTGGCTCCTGATTACCTCCCTGACTTGTTGTGCCCATATGAGCCTGTCCGCAGTCTCAGATCCTCTGGTAGGGCTCTGCTGGCTGTTACCAACACCAGGCTAAAAACAAAGAGTGGTCGAGCTCCGCAGCTCTGGAACTCCCTGCAGAATCAGTGACATCTTTTAAATCACTTCTTACAACTCATCTCTTCATTAAAGCCTTCAATGATGCCACTACTTGATTTTACTCAACATCCATGTTTTATTTGTTTTCCTTTGTTTTTTCCATTTGAGTATTGCTGCTATTGTTAAAACGCTGTATACTTGGTGGTGGGGATTGTATTATTATACCTGCTACACCTGCTGTTCTACTTCTCGCAGCAATGCTCTGTGTGAGAAGATTAGGGGGGGGGGGGGGGGGGGGTAGATCAGAGGACGTCTCTGATTGCTGCCAGGGTTTAACTAAATGTTTCCATAGAGTGAAGCGAAGCTGTACTGTGCTGGTGTTCCTATGTGTTCAACATAATCTCAATTGAATGAAAATGATCAATTTAACATAACGTGTTAATTCTTCCCTGATGACCCCCTCCCTCTCATTAATGAGCTGCAACTCTCTTTTGCCCCTCATCCTTCCATCCACAGGAGTCTCTAAAGACCGGCAGGTCAAAGGCTAAGAAGTTGACGGAAGCCTGTCTTAAAAAGAGGGTACAAGTGAAACTGGTTGAATATGACTTTATAGAAGTGAATTACCTCTCTGAACAGTACCAGAAGAAGTTTGAGGAGACATCCGAGAATGCCAGAATATTGTGAGCAGCAGTGGATTCTCTGTCATTGTAACTTAAGACTGGATACAATATATTGATCTAATGTTGTAATCTTGTCTCCGTTATCAGTTCTGAAAGACAAGGCAAGGCCAAACAGGAGATGTATTCTACCAATGAGGAGTTAACCGATCAAATAAGGACTAATACAAGGTAGGCTTATGCTAACATTGTGAATTTAACATAAATACAGTATGTGTACATCTGCCCCACGCTGTATGTGAACAGTGGAGGAAGAAGTATTCCAACCCAGTCTCACGGCATTTCGTGTTATAGTCACAAAATTAATTTAATCTATTGATTCGTGTTCACCAACACAATTTTCGCATTTTTTTCGTGTCACACAGAACGATTTTAAAAGCAATGTATTTCTATTGGTAGTATGTTTCGTGCCTGCACCACGTCTTTTTGTCCGGTCGGGTCTTGGAATACCAGAAGCTGTGTGGTTCATAAAAACATGTTCTTACTCAATATCTTACCCTAAGCCTAACCCTATCCCTTTTTATTTTAAATTGTATAATGTCTGAGTTTTTTTGCCGTCAGTGAGGAAAAGAAATGGCTCAGAGCCTCAGAATACTGAAATCTGTATTTTATGTCATCTTTTTTTCCTTCTAATTTGTTATTATTTGGTGCAGGCACGAAACACACTACCAATAGAAATACATTGCTTCTAAAATCGTTCTGTGTCAGAATACTGAAATCTGTAATTTTTTTTATTTAAATAATTTGACTCTTGTGACTTAAAGAGTAAGTCCACTAGATACCTTTTTAGAGATGCATTTTGTTAAAAGCAGCTAAAGCTTTTCAATAAATGTAGTGGAGTAAAAGTACAATATTTCCCTTTGAATTGTAGTGGGGTAGAAGTACAAAGTAGCAACAAATTGAAATACTCAAGTAAAGTACAAGTGTCGCAAAATGATTCTTTAGTACAGTACTTCAGTAACGTGACTTTTCACCTCTGCCCATGGTGTGTATGCAAACAGATATGAACCATTAGGTGCTTGGAAAAGGTTTTATAAATAAACACGAGCTGTTTCAGACATACTCATCTGCACTGAACATAGATCCAAACGTACTCTTTCTTCTTCATAGGGAGCCTCCCATGTTTGATGAGATCCGGCCTGAATATAACAGATACCTGAACATCCTGTTGAAGCGGCCGCCTTCAGAGTGGCAGGAGGCTCTGAGAACTACAGACCTCAGAGAGCCAGCGAGGGTGCAGGGTAAAGTGTTACAACTAAGTGAATCAACATCAGTTACAATATGAATAAGGTATTATTTAAGGTATACTTTTTTTAAATCCCCTGACTTTGGTTTGAAATCATCCCTGATCACAGG